GTGGTGTATATATAATGCCAGAATCTTTTCCCATATCCCAATACATATAATATACGCGTATATAACGCCACCTGGTCATGTGTCAATGTACATGTATAAATGAATGCAATGTATAATGAAGTAAGTCAGTAAGATTTCTCGGAATGTCATAAGATCAATATGCCTTCGGATAAACTTTAGCAACTTACGTATTTTTCTGATACCCATGAACAGAAGATATAACAATAGGACACATGGGGAATCAAGAACATATGCACCCTAGTACTTCTATGAATAAAGTCATTTATGAAAGTTGCGTGCTTGCTCATTTCGTTGCATCATATGGATCATGCCAAAAGGAAAGAAGGGATAGTCTTAACATACCTTTGCAATCTTCTCTCCAATCGCCCACCAAGCTCAATATGATCTTCTTACATCTATAATGAGTAACCCGACTTCGTCGTCATCACATAAGCATTGTAACTCTCATATTTCAAAATCAATATTCTACAAGAAAACGGACAGCACATCTCTTATATTTACTACATCCCATAAGTTACTAAAAGTCACCAAACAACCCAAACAACAACAATATAATTCACAATAAGCTCTCTGATTACTTCAACAACCATTTTGAGCGGCAAACTCGATTTACAATTAAAAAAATATAATTTAATCCAATTCCCTTTTCATGAATCTGCCTACAACTTATATAACATCATACTTATGCTTACCATATTATTTTCATCCCAAAATATCATAAGAATAATCTTCAAAAATAGTCCACACGCCTAGCACCTTAACCTTTATCGTCAACATCTTATTTTTCATGTTATCTTCTCCAATCCATTGAATAAGCACATAGATAAGCTTAACAACAATAGCCACAACATAATCAAACTATTTATAATAATTTCCAGCCACAACAAACCATATATATAGCCTCAACACAGCCTACAAAAAAAAAGATAATGATTCCTTATGCCATGTCAATTACTATCTTGTAGATTTTTACTAAAACAACTCAACCAACACATAAATATAATTAATCCCAAGAAATAGAGTGTTATACATACCTTAAATAATATAAAAAATTTCGAACCAAAGCTTCCCTTAGCATACAAGCATTCTTAATCACATCACAACACCATAAAGACTCTCTTCTTCACTTAGGCTAACTTTGATGTTTGATTATGGTGTATTTCTTTGGAATTTGTTTGGAGCCTTTGGGGAATTGTTTGGGAGGGTTTTGAGAGTGTGAGTCTAGAAGGAGGACGAAAAATGAGCAAAGCTCATCCCAAAGATGAGATAAGAATAAGTGAAGGCCGGGCCCCGACCAAGTGGGTCCCATAGGGGCTTCCTACGCAGTTTCGCGAAAACATAAATACCTCTCTACACCGATGTCGTATTGACGAACGGTTTGCGGAGTTAGAAACTAGATACATGGGGCCTATAAACTTACCTCGCAACCTGGCCTATAAACCTGTAACTCTTAATATATTGGGAGAAAACTACCTCGTAACCTGACCTATAAACCTGCCAGTTTCTCCGAAGTGCGGCGACGTGACTTGGCGACCCTACTTTAAAAATCCATATTTCTCTAACCCGATATTGTATGAATAAATGGTTTGGGCCGTTGGAAATTAGGTTCAAATACTTTCATTTTGGTATGATATATGTCCCAAAATGACATCATAAAACTTATGAATTAATTTCTCAAAACAGCTCGTTACAAGGCAAATCTTCGCTCGATTTTTCCCAAACTTTATATTTCATATCCAAACATCATATATAGTCATATCATGATTTTAAACTCATTTAAATCATGATTAATAAGTCTCATATTCATCTTAACTTACTTAAGATTTCGGTAAATCTTTCTTATCCTTGTAGAAGGATTTCGTCCTTTTTGAGCTTACATTAGATAATCCTATAATGATAGTGACGCCTGAAGTATATGGTGTAACAACATGTCCCCTTAGAAATATTTTTCCCCGAATGATAACTTTTAAAGGCGTGCGAAAATGGGACGTAACATCATTAAATTACTTTATATACTTTCAAAGAGGATCTCATTTTCAAGTTTACATCAATTGATTTACGACATACTTTCACATACAAAAACATGGGGTGTAACACTTTCTTTCCCTACCCCTTCGCTAATC